CAAGAATGAAATTCGAAATATTGCTTTTCAAAACCTCTTTCGTTGGATACCCATTTGTTGTTTATTCAGCTTTACTTAACTTATGCAATTGTAGATATTTGGATAGCTGGTAAGCCGATTCAACAGGTGGCAACCCAAAAAAAATATATTCTACTATAAATATGTTTCACAAATCTGAGTAATGGAACCACTTTTTTACTACATACGTATTTGGCAACACTAGTCAAATATAAAAATTTGAAATGTCAGAAAAACTATATTTGAGCTATTGAAACTTATAAAGTTTTAAATTTTTAGCTGCTTGGCAACCCTGTTAAAAATAATTTAAAATACAGCTTTTTTGGATTACTCAATTCTCAACTCTGTGTTTTTGGTTGACTCTTTGGTATATAATTTCACAAAGTAAATACCCTCTTAACGCTATAGAGTTGTAATGAAAAATTTGGTAGATAGAATTCGCTGATTAAGATGGGCGGACTGCTATTGAAAAGACCACATGGTGGCTCAAGAACTTGTGAAAACTCTGACGACATGAAACTTTTTTAAAGAAGAAAGAAAAGAAGATGCAAGCAGTCAGAAATGAAAGATTCCCGGTTTGAACCAGGCAAAGAAGAAAGTTTTAATACACACAAATGAACTATTTTATCTATAAAAAATTTATTACTGAAAAGAGTAGTGATATGACAAATTTTTTATTACAAATAAATATATATGCTATATATATACAAGGAATATAGTAAATTAGATATGTAATTCATCGCTGAAGTTAGCGCGATTATAGAGTGATCTATTAGCGATTACTCTGTCGCGGTTTAGGCCAAAGCAGCCACGACGCCAAAGTGCGATTGATCCCAGTACTATAGGTACGCACAGCAGAATCCCAACAAGTAAACCTATTAGAAAGAGACTACCCGTGCTACCTCCTTCGCTGCTGCATTTTAAACGTCTTTCTGCTGAACTTAGTTGCAATAGCGGAATACTTCTCAAAGCATTTGGTTGATAACAGTTGATATCCTGGGTCCATCTAGGAGTCGTATTATTTATTTGGATCGTTAGTACCTCAATGAGCCAACGATTGCTGCAATCACATGTCCAGTAGTTGTAACGTAAATCAAGTTCAGTTATCTTATCCCAACGTTCGAGCATTCCGCGATCCAAAGCAGATAAGTTGTTGTTGTGCAAATAAAGCTAAGAAAAAGAGAAGAAAATCTTTGTTACATTTCAAGATTATATTATAAGAGGAAAAGTTGGAGAGGGTGATCTAAAAAGATCTATTTCTGAAGGAAACATATTCCCCTGAAAGAGAGTTTGGTTTCCTAGAAAAAAAAAAACCAAAGACGAAGAAGGTTATATTTCGACTACGTCATGCATCTTAAACATCTGTTGAAAGTATAGTTTAGGCTTGGCTACATCTGAAAAAAGGAAAGTCATGAATACAACAAAGAAAGTGTTCTTAACTTTTCCCACGTCTTCAGAAGAAGACATATATTTATTTTATATTTACTACTGACCGGCTACAATTTTTCAAGAAACACTTTGTGCTTCTGGACTTTGTAGGCGGAACCGAGAGTCTCTTTCATGCTCCCGATAACTTGAGATAATGCCCTTCAACTACTCGTTTCATTTGCAGATATGGTTCGAGATGCTCCGATCATGGCTTTGGTTATATTAGGACCGTAAGCCACTGCATAGCGTTGCATAGACCATTAAGGTTTAAAGCAGTTTCAAAAAAACAAAAACTACGACCGGATAACTTAGCTAATCTCTGAGAACAGAGTAGTGTTGAAAAACCTACCAGTTTCCCTGGCAAACTGAAACAAATTTTTGTACCTTCATTCGGCGGAGAAGAGGCAAAGATGCAGCATGCTTAGGCCTGGATAGTTACTTGATAGTCTACTTGATCGTACTTGATGACGCATCTCCTGGGCATCATATCATGCGGCGGACCTAACTTAAAGGCATGTGATGCCTACAAAAAGTGTCCTGTTAGTACCATAAGCTTTGTGTCTTCCCTTGAAGAGATAAAAAACTTTTTGAGCTTGCCGCGTTAAGCTCCAGAAATAGTCCTTGAGGCGCATGCATTTTGGCCCACGCGTTACCTGACTGCTGGAGTCCAGTAATTTGTAATTAAATCGGATCATCTCCTCTACTTTCGCCGAAGCAACGCCTTCTTCGTCACCGACGAAATTCTTGAGAAAGTGCTGTGCGATAACAGTGCATTTATAGCAGCCTGACTTTCAATATAGAGACTAAATTTTTCCTTTATTCGGTTACTACTCAATAACTCCACCGCTTTTTTATAGCCAACACCACTGCCTTTAAAATTCTACAGTACTCCGGCAGCTTATAAGACTTCCTAAGTTCAAATCTGGTATAACTTGTCCATTTAGGACCCATCTGTATATATATACATAGACTGTGTCAGCCATCCTCTTGCCTTCCGGTCAGCCTTCGACCTCGATAGTGGCTTTGATATTCGCTATAAAGTACAGGTTCGGAGATCCGAGCTTACGAATGTTTGTACATCGCTCTCATTTCTCAAAATATTAACAGAACCACTTATAATGCCTCCTATCACGTCACGCTTCTTAGACTATATCTGCTTCCTCAACTTAACAAAGGAAAAGTCAAGCCAAGTCAAGTTACATTTACAGTTGAGGTACTTTTGGGAATTTGAGATCAATGAAATCCTTGCGGAAAATTTGAGCTTAGCTCGAATTCGATAAGGATGCCTCTCTATACCAATGACACAAACACCACGAAGTTAAGACGATTCTTGCGGTGATTTTAGAAATAGAAGATGGCCGACAAAAGACATGTAAGGTGAAGATATAACATAGGTATTTTAAGAAGGTTTGTCGCAAATTTGCGACTATGGGCTTAAACGACTCGCATTAGGCAATTTAGGTTGTTCGGAGTTTATATAAATAATTTTGAAGAGTGAATAAACTGCCAAAATAACAGTGAAATTTGCGAAAATTATAGCCAATACTAGAATTAGGCTCAGGCACAAAGGCACGTTTGATGGCTCTTAAAATTGGATAAAGTTTTTGGAGGAAACTTTAGAGTCCACTTTTATTTTATGATAAACTGAGAAGACAGCATAAAAGAGGGAAAAATTCACTGAAGACCATATCTATTTATCTAAAATGGTTTGCAGCTTAGCAGTATGTCTCTTTCCTTCCGGTTAGCTTTACTGGCCTACACATGGAATGGACACAATTGGTCACAAAGTGATTCACGTATAATGCTAGTAGTTTTATAAACATGTTAGGGCGGTTTCAAGATAACACCTATCTAATGGAAGTTGGTATCAAAATGCCGCATTATCTGAACTTACCTTTTCCAGTGGTGGATAAGACAATATTTCTGGATTCGAAGTATTCTTAGCAAAAGCCTTGACATCGATTTTAGACAACTTTGTATTACTCGATAGGATTAAAGTAGTTAAGTCTATACATAAAACAAATAAAAAGAGTAATGACCATCATCAATAAATCATTAAAAATCTCAACTTACTTTGCAGCTCCGAAAATGCGCCGGGACCGATTACCTTCAGTTCGGGCATGTAAGCCATACTCAGATAGGTTAAGTAGCGTAGAGTTGGGAAAATACTGAAAAAGATATAGTGTGCAAAATTCATGAAAGTATGCTAAAAAAATCATACTCAGAAAAGAAAAATATTTTGCCAAAACAAAAGCTCAAAGTTAAACATACTTTTCGTCCACTAAATCCTCTATGGGATTCTCATCGAGTACCAACTCGCGTAGATTTGGCGCTAAATTTAAATGATCAGGTAGTTCGTCTAAGAGATTGCCACTTAGTATAAGGGTTTCCAAATCGCGCGGTCCGTGAAGTAGAGTATCGGGTAATTCGTCCAGTTCCATGTATGACAAATCTAAAGTCTTTGAAGAGAAAAATATACGCGCATAAATAAAAAAATCTTAGTGGCATTTTTGGGTATAAATGTAGGTTTCTTTAGTAAGAGCTTTCCATTATCATTTCCTTTAAATTAATATAAAATATGCCTGTTTTGATTATATTTTTGGAGTTTAACCTGGATAAATAAGCCGCCGTTCGGTTTATCTGTTCATCTTCGAATGGAAAACGTAACAAGATATACTATGCCTATAACGGCATTCGACGGATGCCATCCGCACGGATCTAATACGATTCGCACTGGCATAACAAGCGAGTGAGAAGGATTGGATAGATTAGATCAGATTGGCATCCCTCGAATACATGCCTATTCCATTCGGATGGCATCCGTCGCTTTTCAAAGACCTGAACTTTTCCCCCTTATAGCACCTGTAATATAAGTTTGCAAGAAAAGTTCTAAACCATTTAAATAAGAGCAAAAGGCGGTCTACGGCTGTATTTTTAGTTTTTTATTTATTTACATATAACAACAAAAAATAATTTTTTATCAAAGATCCTATTCCGAACTTCGAAGGTCCATATCTCGGTTTCGGAGGCTAACTTCGAAAAACGGAAATAAATTACTACTACTTACGTTAGGCATCGGTATATAACCAAGGCTTGGAGCGTAGTCCGGATGGCGTTAATACCGAAGGTCGACACATGTTAGCACATTCATAAGCTACAGAAAATTTTAGCAAGACACATTTGGGGTCCTGCAGTGGAATTCTTACAATCCCTACGCTAAATTCTTGTCGCTAAAAGTCTCTAAATGAAAAACAGTGGGGCCTAAAAGTATACAACATGGAAGAGTCACACATGCAATGTTTAATCAGCCAAATCTGGTAGCATGAGGGGAGTGTTACCACATAGATGCTGCGTGTTGTTAGGGGCGCCTGCTATTCTTTTGGAGGTTTTTGGCAATCAAAATTAGCGATAGCAAATGTTGGAATCCGGCTGCTGGTCTCAATCTTTGTACCCAAATTCTTACAGCCTCAGATCCTCAAATCGTTTGGTACCGAGGCAAAGAAACGCATCTGACAATAGGATTATCAACCGGATCGTCATCACATATGCATCGCCAATATGGACTTCAGGTACCAGTTCTATGCAGTGTGTGAAGAGTTAGACCTGCCAGAATGCTAATATTGTTTTTTTTTTGTCATGTGACGTTAATCCCCCACCCGATACCAGTCACATTTTCCTTAACTGTGGCAATATTTGGTATTTTAATGGACCAATATTACAACTTCTAGAGAAGTAGAAAGTCTTGATAACTTCCCTCACTCCTATTAAGAACTAAAATAGATAATCCTCACCCTAATACATAGTGAACCAAAATAGCATCATTTATAACTTACCTTCAGGTATGCCAGTCCAGAAATAGCTGTTGCTGAGTTTTGATCAATTACTTGAAATGTGTTTGCGGACAAGCTTAAACTCTCTAATTTTGGTAAATGCTCAAAAAGATCAGAGTCTAGGCTATGTATGTCATTGTGACCCAAATTAAGTTCCGCCATTTTTCCCAGAGGCAAGTAATCATTAACGGAGTACAAACCCTTGAAGACATCGGGTAGCAAAGTTTTAGTTGTCAGCTTATTATGGGACAAATCTAATTTAATCAGCTCTGTTAAGTTGGCAAAAGCAGCTTTTGTTATATTCGTAATTTGATTAAAAGCCAAATAGAGACTTTTCACTGGATAACTGGGAAATTCGCCAATGCTGGTAATGTTGCTGTGTTCAAATTTGATGACATCAAAAGTGATATCACCATTTTGTAGAGTTTTCCATTCTTCCACGCTGAAGAGTGAACTCATTTTCTTACTACTGCAGTCAATTTGGCTATGATCAGGGTTATGGAAACAGCTACATTTTTTGCATAAATCGCTCTCGAGGACATTTATCTGAAAATTTATAAACCTACATTATTTAGTAATCTAAAAATTTTAGACTAACGTGTAATGAAAAATAACTCGATATGCCGAAATTGGAAATGATTGCAAATATTGAAAATGTTGGTCAACTTTCTTACCTTAGGTGCGGGTGTAGCTGGAGCAACAGTTGCATTAGCATCCTGTTGTTTGATAGGTACGGCCTTTTGTGTAGTTTCGTCCGCAGCCTTGGTCAGAGCGCAACAGAGCACAACAAAAACAAATGCTGTCAGCCAATTATTTTTGAACTTCATTCTAGTCTGGAAAACAGAGATTAATAAAAAGTTTATTTCTGGTTTGAGCCCATTTTCCGCAAGCGGAAACCTGTAATTATTTTCCATGGTAAGTTTAACAGTTTCGAGACTTCAGCAGGTTTCGTGGTGTTTCTAATTCAAAGTAAGTTTCGTTAAAGATAATTTCATTCGCCTATTATTAGTGGCTTATCTGCTTTATATATTTATAAACGTGATGCGAGTTTACCCAACTTTCTTCCTTTAGATCCACCTTGGAGCCATCAGTGCAGATGGCTGCAGGTCAAAGTACGATATTAGGACTGAATCCTTCTCCCATTCACCCCTTGAGGGGATCCTTTTCTGAAAATGATTCTTTACTTTAGTAGGCGGGACTGGTCCAGGTGCCTGAAGTCTGCTGGAAGATCTTCCAAAATTCTAAAGTTCCCGAACTTCCAGACTTCCAAAGACGATCACCTAGTGTACCGGAGCCTCTGCTACATCACCTGCGACCGCTCTGGAAAGAACTGCTACGGCTACCGTCCCGAAGGTCTTAATCGCCGAGAGATCCATGAGTTACCCTTGAACGGTTATCACTGCGGTTCAATTTTGGTCGGTTGAGCCAAGCGCTGGGTTATAAGTAAATTCTCAATTGCAAGAGCTTTCGGATCTGGCGTGCTCCAGTGGCGGTCAAAGATGTTTCTTATGCAATCAAAGCCTCAGCTCTCGCTGTTGGTAGCGGTTCTAAAAGGCCATAGTGCGATTGGCTTTCAATGCTAAAGTTAGGAATCATTTCAGCACTTTCTGTTAGTCGGCCCATCCTTCGTGAGACTATGGTGGAAATATTTTCGCTCGCACTTGCTGACTAATCCAGGGGTGCTCTCAAACAGTGAAACTAACCGCATTTGTTCCTTCGTAGACGGCTCGCGGGGGGTTTCGCCTATTAAATTGTAGTCCCCATTTAGCTTTTGTGGTACCACAAAGGACAATTTCTTAATTCCTCAAGTGCGTTCCTTGTCTGGGACAACCACTATAACTGAACCTAATCAAAGCGTTACGTAGTGTCTTTATCCACGGAGGGGGCCTAAATCACTACTTTTAGCCTTAAGACAAATGGGTGCTGACATGACTGCAGACAACTTGTGGCATTTTTGATTGCTCACTACTTGTAGCACAAACACCTGACTCATACATGACGAGCCCATTTGCCCCACCTTTATAAGGATTACGTGCGGGGCAACAATGAGTTGAGACACAAACACTTGAGTTTTTTATCTCTATCGATGTGATCACACATCGTTTCGTGTAATCAGTAGTTGCGACAATAAAGTCTAATTATAGTTAAAGTCTTCGAATTGAAGCTCCCCAGCCTTTGTTCTGTTTATATTCGCAAACTGCTTCAAAAAGCATTATATCTTTAAGTAGTAAGAAATGCTTGATATTCGGCTGCTAGACAAGTGCCACGCATTCTCCATATTTTACCATGAAGTGAAGCGTTTATGTCCTCGGTGGTAACAGTTGTGAGTCCAATGTAGTAGAAAGTTACCCAAAAATATATATTTCAGCGGGTTAGAGCTCAATTTTAATCCCTCTTAATGTGAGATAGGTTAGTCATCCTCAGTTGAGATACCCGGGTGCAAAGGTCATTACCGCAGTTTAAGGATTAGTCGTCTTGTGAAATGCAGCGCTTCACAGTCAGTTCATGGATTATATGAGCCAAAATTTCATAGTACGTCGGGTTCAAACAAAAGTAGAAAAATTGCCACTCCCTTTGAAAGCGGTAAAAACTTAACTCCAAAGTTAAAGCGGAGCTTTCGCGACTGAAGCACTCTCTCTGTAAATGGTATATCGTTCTCACCAGACGAATGCTTGCTAACCTAAGCAGGGGGTTCAAGGTATGCTCAATAAAGAGAGCTTTTTGCACTTTTTACTATATCTGAATAGGAGTGCATTAAAAGCTATAAAACCATTGAATTAAAGTTCTAACGAATTGTGACTCAACCGATTTTTATCTTTTTACTTATATACTTATAGCACAAATCGATATGAAAATTCCACGAACGTAAATACATAAAATGTAATTCTTAAATTCATACTTGGTTCACATATGTAACTACCAAGTACATATATATGTATCGGTTTTCTTTGTTTTTGCAAGGGTATTATAAGAGCACTTGTTATTGCTAAAACTTAGCCAATATTATAAATTTCGCAGATAAGTACTTGGAATAAATCGAGTCTAGTGTTATTCTATTATTTGTGTTTTCTTTGAATATATATATGTATAATTTAAAAATTATTTAGCGCAACTTACAATTTGTTATCAAAGCAACCGAGTCTAAATACTTACTGAAAACGCTTTCAACTTAGCAAAATAATTTTATCAATATCTTATCACTACTTCGTACAGTTATAAAAATTGTTATAATCTTATCAATGCCAAATAATTTTTTTTTGTGATAAGAGTAGCGTTGAATATCGTTAGTGTTTTATGAACTAACTGTTATAACAGTTTAACTGGAGTAAACGTTATCTCGGCGGCGAAAAGATTGAAATATCCAATGCAGTTTGTTGCCGTAAATGAAAGTGGGTATTCACAACTGCGCAGAAAAAGAGCTGGGTGCTAGCTCTTAAATTCCCACAAAGGCCGCTAAGTTGACCAGAATTTCGGTGTGGATTTTGTAGATCTTGATCTTCCTGAAACCAGTGTAAGGTTAGGTTGAGTTAGGTTAGATTAGCCGATAACGCACAAGCGCCGAAGTGTTCGAAAATCTCAGAGCCCATACAATATTAACGGTTCATTTGGACGCCAGCATGCAGAAACCCTCCTGCATCCTTGGTTGACAGAATAGTAGAGCAAAATCTGTAAGCGAAAACTGAGGATTAAAGCGAGATCACTGAATCCCGCAGCCTACTCTTTAGTTTATCATGGAACCATCCGTACATCTTTGTAGATAGCCGTCACCCTGAATATAAACCTGTCGCACATCTCCACTCGTTCCTCTCTGTGAGTTTTATGGAGAATTTTTTGTCTACCATTATCAACCTGCGAGAAGTTGATCGTAGAGATCCTCCAGTAGAAGATTCAAAATTAATTCCACAGATTTGTTGGGTGTAGAGATTTAATTTTACCTGGTGAAGAATACTACCTTGGGCATATTTTAGTAGCCCAATCAGGACCTGTAAATATTCTCGAAACTAAAGTTAATCTTGTTCCGGGCCATTCCTTCACTGCAAATAGTTTTATGGGAAGCTTTTTCATGGCAGATATGTTCTCGGAGGTTTGCCATTGTCTGCCGAGAAGCGACTGCTGTTATAAAAACGTTTTTTATTCGCACCAGAGAAGGAACCTGGAACAAGAACTATGCATCATTAAAAACTTGGCTACGGCGGTGTCACCGAGACCCAAGTTCTCGGGTTGTTATGGTATACTTTATTCAGACTTTACAGCTCCACGGAGCTACTCGCCACAAGTAAGTTGCTTTCACGAGTACCAGTAAGCGACAATGCGATATCAGTGCGGTTTTGAATTGTCTATCTTCTCTTGTAGCAATATCTTTTTCATTGCGGGTCGGACGTACTTTCATTAGATTCTAGGGAGCCGACTTTTTCTGAGACACCCATGAATTTGTGCAAAGTATGGAGTGTAGACTGCTAGCGCACTGCCGTTAATGGGGTTTCCTCCAGCGCTATTTCTCTAAGCGAGCAGCTTTTTTTCCATACAATTCAATTTCGATATTCAGAATTACTGACTTCTTCTCTAAACCGTCTTATGAAGTTCACTTGATCCTCTCTTATCGGTGAGCTACCAACACGACGTTGGCTACATTGAACTTGATGAGGGATGTTATGGGGGTGTGGCACTTCTACAGTTCACCGAGCTAGCCTTTTGCCTATCCGCTGAAATCTCAACAGTCGGTGTTCGGTCAATGTTGACCTTACTACTGGTAGATATCATGGCGCGTGGTATTTGCGTTCCAAGCCTCTCGCTCTGTTCAGTTTATTTTTTAGTATTAAATTCGACCGGTTCCATCTGCTGTGTGCCTTCGTTGCGGTCATTTTATGCCATTGGAGAGCTCCATAGTGTCATAGCTGTAGGCGAAATTGTTTCTTCTGTCTTTTTTTTGAGAGATAATAAATTTTCTGGGCATAGATATCCTGAGGGTTCGGCTGAGTATCTCCGTTAGTCGCCAAGTATTCGAAGTCCTCTGTCCGCATAAAAACCACCAATTCGGCCGATCCTCGAGACAGGTTTTATGAAGGCTTCAACCTAAACCTTCTGGATATTTATACTTTCAATAGCTTTTTAGCAGTATCGGAGACTTATGGTGTTTGTTCTGGTTGCCCAGGGCAGTTATACTAATTCTAAGGTAGGGTTCATTGTGATACTTGATTTAATTGCAGTCGAACTTCTAGGTTCGTGGACGACCAGCGAATCTAAATTTCGTAATCAATTTTGATTCGTTGAAACGCAAATAGCAGCTTGACTATCAAACAAAAGCCTTCAAAAGCCGGATGCTGAATACATAGTTCTTTCTGAAAAAAAAACTTTAACAAAATCAGTCAGTTAGGCAGATTTAGAAGACTTATCGGGAAACTCCCATTTCAATCACAAGTTTCATAGTGAGCAGACATATACAGTGCGTTACAGCTCACTGTTTTAATCAGATATCGATGAAATTAGAATTGCGGACAGGCCTTAAAAACTTCCGTTCAGACTCATAAAATGGTGGATGGTAGAAAAGCTTTGGTATATCTTTGCATCAGCAAAGCCGCTTTCTGAGCTGAGTTGATGGAGGGACTGTTTAGTGAATTGGTTATGATTATATCTAAGCTTAGATATGTATAAGCTCTTTGTGTGCACGAGGCCTTATAGTTTTCGAAAGCAGCCTATAGCAAGCTTACGAAAGACATGTTTGCTGGTACTTATTTCTTTACGATAGACAAAGTGATCGAAGACTTCGCGATTTCGACTAAAAATTGTTCCGAAAAATGTATGAAACTTACTTAGCTAGCCCGTTTTTTAGATAACTTTCGAATGATATGCAAAAGGCTAACTAGCATCTCCATAAAAGCTCAACTCACACATGCCATAAACGGAGATCAAGTATCACTCGATTGTACGATAAACAACTTTAGGTTACAAAATGTATCCAGAGCTGCGAGTACTTTCTCGAAATATATCAGGATGCAAAAAACGGTTATGCTTGTAATGTCCCCTAAGCAATTTGTTTTCTAAGCATACCCTCGACCTTATTGGGTTTGTATAAGCACGCAGTTCCC